TTCTTTATTTTCCAAGAAAGAATGTGAAACAAATTGGTTATATAATTTTCATTTTTAAATATTTTTAAATATAATTTAAATTGATTTTACACACTTTAAGCAATATCGTATCGCATATCGAATATCGCATTTTTTAACAAGGTATCGTATATCGCATTTTTCTTCAATATCGCACAGCCCTAATAAGGACCAAGATTTGAACCTTCACTATTGTGCCGTTGAGCTTCTAGAGCGTTTTGCCCTGTAATAAGTGTCACTTTGGATAAAAGCATTTTTCGAAATAACTAATGACTGCATCTTAATTTTACATCACTCAGGTGGGAGAGAACACGCCTGTCAGTCTCGGGGATCCATTCAGAAGCTTTTTAGTCCCAAAGAGAGTCTGAGCCACCTAGACCTTCAGCTGTCCCACAAGAGACACCTCGCTCAGAAGAGACTGAATGTGCCTGCTGCAGGTCAGGATGCTTTTACAACCATTTCAACAGTTTTGACTAGAATGAAGTATTTACTCTGTGAAATAATTGCTTTAGTCAAAGCATACCCAATTTTGCATTTATTGCTTCATAAAAAGAGCTGACAAAACCATAACTATAGGAATTAATATGACTATAGTTGGTAAATTAGGATAATCGCTGGTGCATTGAATGAGACATTGGGTAAAGTGGGATTGCTGGGTTGTCATGTGATCACAGTAAAATGCAAGGAAAATGTTAACTGATCATTTGAAAAAGTCTGCATAATTAGATTTTTTCTGATAAGATTGCAGTTTAAATAAAATAAAATACTTTAGGTTTGCTGTGCTTGTTTGTAGAGTGGCAGTTTGGCCAACAATTTTGTGATTTATATAACATATATTTATATTATTAATAAAATAAACTGTAAAATAAAGGGAGTGTTTTAGAAAATATAATAATAATTAAAATTTTAAGTAATTTGTCTTTTTCAAAAGTTAAACCATCAAGCTTTTATTTTGGTGGAAAACCTTAAAACCTCTTGTTTGTTGGCAGCACCTGGTATATAAGTACTTCTCATTACAAGTATGTAGAAGATGTTTGTATATGTTAGATGATGCACATTATATATGACCAAAACACGCAGAGATGGAGTTCATGGAGCAGCATTTACTGTGAACCAAGCCGCTCCGAGAAACTGAAAACACTGGCTGCTCACGTGTAAAACTCTGAAACTTGCAGCTATATCTATTTAATTAAATTACAGCCTTTGTGATTTTGGTTTTATTTCAGTTAATCAAACTGCGCTGCTCTATCATTTGGTGCAGTGATTAACAGATTAATGTACTTGTGCTGCTTTCACATTCTTCCTCAGGTTTCACCGCTGTACAGAAGAAGGACTACCTGCCCGTTTTCCAGCTCACAGAAACCGGAGACATCTTTTACCAAATGTTGAAATTGCACACAGATCAGACCACAACCAATAACGACGTACTGGAACAATCTGTCAGTGTGCAACGTACAGTAGAAATGGGAGAGAGCGAGAACATGCAGTCCCACACCAACAATGACGACCAATCTGTTCAGAGCGACTCTGAGACTGAGGGACGGCAGGCGGCGCTTCGTCATTTGGAAGTAATCGATAATGTCGATAATGACGACTTAAATGCTTTGGATACAAATGAAAATATCAGGAAAGAACCATCAAGCTATTCGACTGGGAATAACCCAACTTGTTCCACCAGACCGCCCAACCCAACCCAAGCAAGGATCCTGATCTCCAGGTTGCCTGGAACCAATGGTTTGAGCCCATTTTTAAAAAGGCTGCGGCCAAAAAGCGACACCCTAATTTTCAATGGATCAGAATGGACGGTTTAAGGGGCATGATGGGCAAAAAGCTGAATAAACAAAAGGAAGATCGATTGAGGAGAGACCTTCAAGAGGTCATGAGGGAGAAAGAGTTTCTCTTGCATGGGGTCACGTACCTGCCTCACCTGGACATGACGCAGGTTCCCGATCCTGTAGATCCCGACGATGTGAGCCAGCGGTGGGCGGCTTCATGGGAGGGCCATTGGAAATGCTGGTGGGAGGAGAAGCTGGGTTTGAACCGGGACAAGAAAATCGCGGCTCTTCGCCGAAAGCGCCGGAAAGAAAAGCAAGTCAAAGCTCGCAGTCGCACCTCACTTTCTGGAAGCTTCACCTCATCTGTGAGTTACCAAGAGAGTGCCTCGGGTTGGTCATCGGTGGGGAGTCAGTGTCTGGGTTCAGATGACGAGACTTGGAGAACTCGCAAGCTACGGACATGGAGGAATGGAGGGCCAAATCTGAGATGCACAGAAAGAGCCCTATCATACTGAGACGGTTTTTAAATGAGCAGTCGACTGAGGTAGAACCTTTCAGATCTCCTTTGAGGCCTGATCAAGACCTTTTGACGTCTCCATCAAAATCTCAAGTCTTCCATTCAGGTAAGGATTCGCTGATATGGAATTTCAGAGCTGATACCGATAAATGATTATTTATAGCGATTTGTGGCCAATACTGATAACTGATAATTTTATTTTTTGACTTTAAAAAGGAGTTGCTGTCTGATAAATTAAAATGACTCACTTGAACCAAGGCGACTGTCATAGATGTTATGCTGGTTTAATGAGAAATTAATGACTTGAAACTAGCATAAATTGTATTGTATCCATTTGTACGTTATTGTTCAAAAGTTTAGGGTCAGTAAGATTTTTATTTTTAAAGAAATGAATACTTTTATTCAACAAGGACACATTATATTGATCAAAAGTGACAGTAAAGACATTTATAATGTTACTGATTTTTATTTTAAAATAAATGCTGTTCTTTTGAAAATATTAAACAGCACAACTTTTTTCAACAATAATAAATGTTTCTTGAGCAGCAAATCCGCATATTAAAATGATTTCTGAAGGGTAATGTGACACTGAAGACTGGAGTAATGATGCTGAAAGTTCCGCTTTGATCACAGAAATAATTATATTTTAAAATATATTAATATAGAAAATAGTTATTTAAAATTGTAGTAATATTTCATAATATTATTGTTTTTACAGCATTTTTGATCAAATAAATGCATTCTTGGTGAACAAAAGAGACTTTATGGTTATCCTGATAAATCATTTTAACAGATCGCTAAACAGTAGAACGGAAATGTACAATGATCTACACCAAAATGTGTCAAAACATCGGAAAGTTTCAACTAGTAATACAAGTTTTTGGACCTTGATTCATTGTGTTTGAGCTTGTTTAATCTGGATCATATTTTGTGCCATTTTCATGAATGATCAAAAACATGTCCGTGTATGACTTCTTGTGTATGAGGTTTTTGCATATTTCGTCTTGACATATAAATAAAATGTGTACTCGCAGCAGATGATTGCAATTTTTTTAACATTATTTTTAATACATTGTTCATCTCTACTTTCAGGTTGAACGACCAACCTCTGGCTCTCCTAGTGTTGCAGTAGGGTTGGATTTGGGACCTCCTGCATCGCTCACCTCCACACGGCCACCAACTGTCCAATTGAAATGGTGCAATGAGTTTTACCTCAGTTCCCTTCCCACATCCCAAATATCGACTCCGCACCGGATGGTGGATATTCTTTATCTCAGGTTGGCCTTTCTTCGCCGACTCCTTTGTCTCATCGCTCCTTGACTTCCCAGAGAGTTCCCCAATTCAGAAGCCTCTCTCAGGCCTCCCAGCCAAAGAATAAATCTCGGATGGGCTTCTAAAAATCCGACTCCAAAGAAGGAATGCTGTAAGGCAAGTAACCTACTTTTTGCATGGTGTCGAATGTTTGGGTACTGTACAGAGACGGGATGTGTTTGAACGAGAAACTCGAGCCAGTAGTGAGTGTGTGTGAGGAACTGCACAAATATTTCTGTGTTTGTAATAACTAATGCTTACTGTTTGGACCAATTAGAGTGTGCTTGTGGTCTTTAGCATAGTTGCATTCTGCTTGCTTTTCTCACTTGTATAATGGCTATAGAGAAAATCGAGGCATTATGACATCAATATCCCAATTGTTGTTTTTAGTTTATTACTTTGGCTTCCAAATCCATATCCGAAAACATCTTCAAATGCTTGCTGTGTGGTTTTTCTGGTGTTCACATTTAAAATTTCATCAGTACGTAGTGCATTGTGTGTAATGTAATGGATCCTGTGGTATTTTTCTGGCTTTTTGCCCACCTGCTCCTACAAGGGAACAGAAAGATTGTTTCCAGCCTTTTGACTGACTAGACATGCACAGGTTGTTGGTTTGTCCTAAGAACGAGTTCCTGTTTTTGGGGAAAATGTGAAATCGCATCACACTGGGCAGAATTGCATCATGCACTGATCATTTGTATGTGTTTAAATCGGCTGATAACATCATGACGTTGTAGTTGACGAAGGCTCTTACTGTTGCTGTGTAAAATATCCTGCGGCAGTGAGGCGATTTACAACATCTGCTGTCTGTTTGCCATTTTCTGCTTTTGTGGGATAGTTGAGGCACTTGGGAACTGAAAACTGATTCAGGATAACCTGACTAAGCAAAACAGGAGACTGAGTGAATTTGAAAATAGCTTTTTTTTTTTTGTGACATTTTTTTTTACATTATACAAATGTACATTTTTTTTTATATTGACATTTTTTACATTTTATAAGGTTTTTAGGCTTTTTTTTTGTTGTTGCACATTTTCAACATACAGTATTTGTCTTCATACATCGGCTAAAGTGAAACTTATACTAAATTGGCAAGTAGGTTAACAACATCACACACACACACACACATGAAAAATAAACAATCCACTGTTTTTCTGTGAACACCATGCGCACCACATTAAATCTCTAACTATTTGACCTCAGAGGCGGCAGTTCTGCTGGCACGCAGCTTTCCCGCTGTCACGCGCTTACAATCATATTACTAAACTGTGCAAAGCACCAAAGTACAAATCTCAAGTTGTCTATAACAGTCTAGTGTACCTTGGATATGTCATATTGAGCCGCCTGGAATGTTGACAAATCCGAACATGCACCAACTTCTATAAACGCTACGCTACTTTTTTTTTTTTTTTTTAGTTTTTAGCTGCCAGTGTTGTGCAGTGCTGAATTATTTTACTTTTAGCTTAACAAGTAATCAAGAGAGATGTTTACAGTATCTGGACTGGCTTTCTGTAAAGCCATAAAAGAAGAGTTTTAAAATACAATTCTGATATTTTGGACTCAGTGGTTTCGTTGAACCCAGGCACAATGGCACCTCGCTGTATAACTATTAGGTTTCAGCCAGAAGAGGTCTGTGACATCATCTTGGAAGATGACAAGGGAGCCATTCAGATCAGCGTGGAGGCCACATCGCCATTGGCAGTTGTGCTCCTTGACGAGTGGTTTAGAGCGTATTACTGTCTGTGGGCACGGGAGCGGAAGTTCGAGGGGAAATAGTGTCCCTCGGCGTCGCTGCCCAGCGAGCTGCTCAGACTCTCTTCCCCAGAGCTCAGGTCTTCGCTTGAATCCTCACTGTCATAAAAGAAAATAAAAAACAGTCAGATGCACTCTCATTTTGACTATTTTATTTATTTATTTATGTGTCACTTTGGTTAGGTACTTACAAGTTCATAAAAGAATATTGTGTTTTAAAATGTAATATTTCCATTTATTTTTATTTTAGTTGTAGTCATTTTACTAAACATTTTTTTTTGTTTTTATTTCTGTTTATGTAAAATTATTTATTGTATTTTTGTTAGTCATTTTAGAACTTAAACTTATTTTTTTATATTTCTACTTTATTTATTTTCAGTTTTATTAATTTTAGTCCTTAACTTTTTTTTTTGTTTTTATTTCGGATAGTCATTTTAGTACTTAAATGACACGGTACTTAAATTTTAGTACTATGTTTTTCTTTTCTTTTCTGTTAAATTATTTATTTTTAGTACTTAGTTTTTTTAATAATATTTCTATTTAATTATTTTTTTATTTAAATTTTTGTAATTTCAGCACATTTCAGTTAGTTGCAAAGGCAGCATTTCTAATTTTCAGTAAGTTTTTTTTCCCCCATCTAACATATGTTTTTATTTCATCTTTATTAAAAAAAAATATAAATAAATATATATATAGTAGTATAGTTAGACTTATACATTATACACTTATACTGAATGACGAGTCTATATTATTATCTGTGGTAATGAAGCTCGACTGAAATCATGTATGTGGTTAACCTGGAATATCACTCAGTGTCGTAATAGAAAAAAAACACTGTCAGATGTCCGATCTTGTTTTGTGCTTTTGTCTAACCGACCCCACCTCGCACACCCTTCTCTTACTCACAGGTGATGCTGCACAACCTGTGACCTGTTTGTAAATAGTCATTATTCACTACCCACATTCCACTGCTGCGCCTAGTTTGAGTTGTTTGCATATCTAACCCATTAGCCATCTCAAAGCAGTACGTCCTGTCTGGATTTTCAGCTTGTAATCAGCTGTGTTGGTGAGTCTCAGGAATGACTCTTGTTGCTCTTGGCGAGTAAACGCTCTCGGATTGGTTGCTAGGACGTGACTAACTATTCGTAGTTATCAAGTAGCACTGTAAGGACACCTGGGTGGGGCGCTGTGCTGACGAGGCTGTGACGTAAGTGGTGTGTGTCAGTAAAACGCCAAGGTTAAGACGTCATGTGATGGGGAAAAACTGTGATGGAACTGAAACCAGAAGTTGTGATGGAAAATTGACAGGCGTACTTTACATAAATTATTCCCGAGTTTGTTTGCTGCTATTTCCTGATATTTTAGAGTTGTTGTTATCAGTAGAATATGAAAATATAATCACTGTAACGTGAGAGATGATGTGACTGATTTTGCTTAGTTCCTTATGAGCTCATGAAACAATATTTTGAGTTCCAGTGTTATTTTAGTACTATTGAATATGTTATAGTATTTATTAATATTTTGAATCAGCTTTTGTTTTTATATTTCCAGTTTTAATTTTAGTAAATTTAATTTAAGTATAGTTTAATTGTATTCATTTTTATTATACGTTTCTATTTAGCTTTATTTTCTTTCAGTTTTAATAATTTTAGTATTTAAATTAAAATAAAAATTGCATTTGCAACTAACTGAAATAAAATAGTTTTAAGTGTTTCATCTCATTTATTATCCTCTTATTTAACATTATTTTAATTTTGACTTAGAATAGAAACCATTGCAAACCTAACTGATTTTTGTTTGGTTTCACAAACTGAATGACAAGTCTAAATGATTTTCTGTGGTAATCAAAGCTTGACTAAAATCATCTTTATGTGATTAACCCGGAATATTCCTTTCCCTTCCTCTATTGACTGTTTAGTACGAGTGTGACATCCTAACACCTGTGTTTTTCCTCAGGTGAGCTGTGTTTACCTCTCGCTCTCGTCCCACGCGCCCTCTGGGATGGTGGGCAGCTCGGGGACGCTGCGGTAGCTGCTGTGCAGGTTCTGTGCCGTCCTCCGCGAGACGATCCACACCAGTTTCTTGTGGTCAGGTTTGGCACATTCTGGAGAGGAGTATTCCCTCATACACTGGCCTACCAGGCCTCGCCAGTGCACCAGGTCAGCCTTCGAGATCTGCAAACAGACACTGCTGCATTAGACACCTGCTTACACAAGGACAGGGCACAGAGCCAGCTTCATTTCGGACGGGACCGACATGTGTAAACCAATAGCCTGTTGGTGATAGGACTGGGTTAAGAGCTTTGGATTTGTCACAGAGCAGTCTGTGACATTTAACGTGATTTCCTAACTTTTAAAAGGTTTTTATTGATGTTCAGGGCGTGTAAAAATGTTGATCTACTCATGAATTCTTACCTTCAAGTGTGTTTGTATGCGCTGGGCGATTTCTAGCAGGTCCACAGACTGTAAGGCCTCGATCTCAAGCATCAAGAGCGACAAAGCGAGCACCGAAGGCTAAAAAAGAAAGAAAAAGAGAGAGACAATTCATCAGAATTCAAATTTCCATTTAACTTGCTTCAAGAATCTGTCTAAGTTGTTCTTACTTTTGCTTTGGAGAAAACAATTCTGCATAGGCAGGCTTTCAGCTGGGCTTCCAGTTTGTCAAGATTCAGGACGTCTTTTCTGAAAAGGAGAAGAATGCATTAGTGAGATTTTATTAGCCGAGCTGTTTGTCATTGAAGAAGCCATTGTATCTAGTCAGAAGATAATCTCCTAGTTTCTGATGCATGACTGCCGTCACGGTCACCCATATACAGCAGAATGCTCAAAGTCCGCTTGCAAGCTCTGTTTATCAACCTTTACAAGTCAATGTTTCAAATGCCAAGCCTGCATGTTAAAGTTTGTGGATCTGAAGTTTGATAATGCCACTTGTTCTTACCTGTTGGACGTGTGCGAAAGTGCAATGGCGTGGTACAAATGCAGGAAGGTTAAGGCTGTGACGGCTTTTAACTGGAAGTTGAGCTTCTCCAAAATGATCTTCTCCATTCGGCTGAGGTCTGAGATGGTGAACTTGCACTGGCTGATGCGAATGAGCTCATGGCTGGACGAAACATTGCACTCTTCTTCGGTCACTCGGGCGGCGATGTGAAGGCAACCGATGCTGATGCAGGCCAGATACCTGGGCTGAACCTTTAGGAACACACAAGCGATCAGTTATAACATGTTCTAATACTTGTTAATCAGATGGATTGACTTATAACTAATTGATTACCTTCATCATAGCTATAAACCTGTCCAGCAGGTTAACGGCTAGTACAAAGGTTTGAGTGCTGTAACCGAAGAAACTGGTCAAGCTCCAGATATCTTCCACTCGAGCATCTCGACATTTGGCTGAAACTCCATTACCGTTCTGTGTGGATGAGGAGAAATAAGTTACATTTAAAGTTTAAAACTGTGACCCATTTGGACCCAAATATTGTTTTGTACATTGTATACTGTAAAAATACTTTTTATAATGTACAGAAATACAGTGCAAAATTCCAGAACTGTTGTATATGTTCTCAAATAAAGTTTGTATATGTATTTTCACAGGAGTTTGTCAAACTAGTTTACCTCTTGTGTGGATTCGATCAAACTGAGACCCGTTTCCTTTGGCAGATAATGAACCTCCTGATCCAAATTGCTCTTCAGCTCCTTCATCAGTTTGATGGCCTCCATATTTTCACTTTGGCTGGGTTTCAAGTTGTCAAAACACCTTTAAAAAGGCATAAAAAAGTCAAGTAAAGTCCGTTAACACAGGGCGGTGGGTCAAGGTTTTGCTCAGCCCCCTCCTCTCAGCTGAGCCTCGGTGTCGGGTTTCGCTGGTTAACGCCTTCTTACAGGACATCCAAACAAATAAATCCGACGCATTCCGACTGAGATGGACAAATAAATGTGAAATCGACCTTTTTAAAACTCGTTGACCAAAATGATAAGGTTAAAACAGGATCGAAAGTGAATGTCATCCAGTGGAGTCCCGTTGATCCTTCAGCTGGAAAATACCTCGACCAGAGGGGGAGGGGTTTCAATCTTCTGTACAGTTTGTTTTCGACATTAAATAATAGACGACGTTTTTGTAAATTACAGTATAATAAAAGCGGGAGCTGAAACATTATTAACTTCAATGAAACTTAAACATGCACTTAAAATTATAAATGTAACGTTACTGGCTTTGAACGTAAACATCAAAGACGACCAAAAATAACAAGGGATTCGATAATTCCAGTAAAATAAATATAATTTTCATTAACATTTGTGACACACAAACGATCGATAAAATGTCATATAATATAAAATATACAGATTAACGTTACTTAGTCAAAAATCACGTTAAATACCAGCATAACCAAACGTCAAGCCCATTTTCAGGAAAAAGAAATACGACAAAAACATTTAAACGGTGACCGTTCATCTAGACAGACGTTTAAAAAGGAAACCAATATCTTAAAGGTTAAATAAAGGTACATTACCAGGGATGTTAAAAGGACATATTGTGTTTGTGTATCCGAGAATCTTTCGTCTGTTTTCGCTGCTTCTTTCCTTTTGTTGATGTTGAATGTGGCTCCGCCCCCTGGGCCTGTCAAGTAAGAAACGTAAGTCGCTCTGTTTAGGTAGTTTTATGCGTTTTAGAACGGCTACTTCTATAATTTCTATGTTTAATTAGGTGTATTTTACATTATTTAATCGTTATGCCATAACTGTTTCAAATAGATCATGTTTTTAAAACATACGAGCGTAGTTTGAAAGCGTTCTGTGTCTTAAAATATTGACAGTCTAACGGACCAATAGGATCGCTCGAAGATGCGGCGTTCAAATATTCCGCCCAAAATTCTCGGTTCTCATTGGCTGCTGGTTTTCAAGTAGACGCCGACGATTGGCTAGCGCATCGATAGCTCGTCCTTCTGTTTGAACTATTGTTGCTGGGTTTTGTTGTGACATTGTTGCCCGGGGGTAGAAAATGTAGTACAAATGCATTCCTTTCTCAGATGTGGATTTTGTGATAAGTTTCTATGTTTTCCTGTTAGACTTTTCCTTTTTCTACTCAATATTCATTAAACGTTTAGTGTGTGGTGTTAACGTTTTAGCTGAATATCCTCCTGGGACACAGGCATAGACTTTAGTCCTCTGTAGAGGACATTATATTTTAGTGAATTTCTCTGAGACCATACATGCCACAGTTGTAAGTTTTTAGTCCTGTACAGAGCACATTTGGGGCTTTTCAGAGATATCAAATGTTTGGAGGGTTGATCATAAACACTCCCTCTCCTTGGTCTTTAAATATGAATGATATCTACAGAATGATCAAATGTAGCACTCTTAGGGAAATGTGATAATGTTTTGTAATGATAATTTAAATCTGCCTAGTTTTCAAATTTTTGTCATAAACATCTCAGAAAAATGTTATAGGGTTTCAAATCGAGATATGACTTTTTGTTACGAAACGGGGCATAACTTTCATGTCTTATGTAGAGGACAAATGGCGTGTTAATCTGGCATATTTCCTATGAAATATGAGAGATTCTTATGAAAATGTTGCCAAGTTATTACTTCCATTATTATACTACTTTTTTCATTATGGTTTGCCCCAAGAACACATTAATATGCAAGTTAGATGAAATGTATAGATACATTGTATAGAATGGGAATACGAATTTATGGACATTTTCCGCACATATTCCATAAAGTACAATAGTATATCAAATCATTCTGTTATATCTTTCATAACATAGTTGAGAATCATCTTTGTACAAAGTTTGGCTAAAAATATCCTGAAACCTAAAAACTGGTGAATGAAAAAATAAAACATTGTTTTTGCCTATACATGCCTATACATGCCTTTTCATGTCTATTATTTATTTTTGAATAGCTTAGTCCTGGCATCCTCTACAAAGGACATAGAATAAAATATGAATAAAGTATCTTTTTTCAACAATGTTTTTTCTCCATTTGTTTGTTATGCTCCAACCAATGTAACTAAAAATAAAAAAAGTAGTTTTTTTTCTGGTTCTCAGGAGGATATTATAGCATATCAGATAGTGAATTATGATTCGGTTGTTATATTAAATTGACGCGTGAGAGGTGAGAATAATCCTTTTGGTCAGAGATTGGACTATCAGGCACATCGAATTTAATAAAGTTTAAGCTTTCTTCCTAAAGCTTAATATCCGCGAAGGAAAAAATATCTAGATGTTAAAAGTATTATTAATTTATTCAGACATTTAATCCTTTTAATATCTAATTTGTACGATGTTTTATGTATGCCTGTGTCATCTTGAATAGGATTGTAGTGATGTCCGGTTCGCGAACGAATCGTTCGATTTAACCGGTTCTTCTTAGTGAACCGGTTGAACCAGTTCACCAAATCGGACTGAATCGTTGAAAAGTGTAAGCATTAATCCACAAATTACTTAAGTTATTCACTTTTTAAACGTGGCTGACACTCCCTCTGATTCGAAATAAACCAATATCCCGGTTCGCGGAAAAGAACCGGACTTCCCATCACTATAGGATTGCTTATGAAAGTAGTCCCCCTACTACAGTACGAGCTACACTCCAAAATCCATTCGCCAGATTAAGTAGTTCCATTATGACCGTTACCGAATTCACAAACAAATCCGTTGAAAACGAAACCTCCGACTAGCTCTACATTGAATTGTTGTACTTTCTAGTATTTTATAATTTGTAATTATTCTTGATTTTTTTATTTATAAGAAATTGTTCTCGGTGTCGCTGCCTGTGTTGCGGTGAGGAGGTCGGCGGAAGGTGGTTCTTCCCTTCTCAGTCTCCTCCTCGGAAGTAGACGTCCGTGTCTATATTCCGTTCATTTTATTTTTAATATCAGTTTGGAAGGATCCCTTTTAGTTTTTAATACCCCCACCAAATTTTACGGCAAACATGGAGGCGAAGCTGGACGCTTAAAAAGATGACGGAATCCGATCTGCTCCTTTATTTTACCTCAATTTAATGGACCGGATGATCTGCGTTTCCCACAACCTTGCAGGGGAGGTAAGAATCTAACCGTTTCTGGGAGCTTTTATAGTCACATTTAACGATTTAGCCTCATTAAACCAGCGATACTGGACATAAACATACACATAAAATACAATTTTTGTATTTTCGGTGATACTAGGTGTGTGGGGTTGCGTGTATATCGATATGTTGCTGTGTAGCTAGTCAGCTAATAACGTTACATACCAAATGTAAACTGCGTCAACACTATCAACATTTCACATTGAGATGCAGTGATATGGATTTTGACGTGTTTAATGTCATTGTTTACACTAAGCAATACATTTTGCATCTATATAGCTGAATCACTTCTCAATCTTAATTAAAATGACAGGTTGAACCCATCATCATCATCAGAGCAGAGCTGATTTATCGTTTTATTTTATTAAATTATTATTTTTTTTAACGTAAAGTATTTTTGATTTGGAGTTTATTGTTGAACAAAAATTATTAAATTAAAATGATTATATTTTAATCAATCAGTAACGATTGGAATAATGAGGTCATCATTATGTATCATATATTACAATAATATTTGTATATATATTGTAACATGTAATTACTATTTTTATTATTATTATATATAAAAAAATATGAAAAAGTTAAATATATATTTAATATTTTTTAATATTTTATTTTTATTTTAGCATGTTTTATATATATACACACACGCACATATATGTATATATATTTGATTATTATTATTTTTAGACTGAATAGTAAAACAAATTCCCAAGGCAACTCGGACATCCCATGTCATTTATGGCTGATCATATTTGATCTATTTTTGAGATGTTTTGTGTGTTCTGCACTCAGGTAGCTGTATCCAGTGGGGAGGTAGGCTTTTCCAGGGTTCGTGATGAAGTTCACCCTGCCCCTGGAAAGCCGGAAGCTGTCGTCTCTTCTGGAGAAGGCAGTTTCTAGGGAAGCCAAACTATGGAAGGTTTACGTGCCAAAGAAACCTACCAACCAGGTGAGTCTGTCAGCTGATAGCTCTGGTTTGTTTGGTATAACAACAATGTTTAGATTGTGGGAGGCAGATAAATTAAGCTAGTTTCTGTGTAGCTCCATTGGGAATATGTGAATAGTTATGTTGCAATATACTGTCATCATTGTTATGTGCTGTAACTTGGGTCTCTTAGGATTAAATGTGTATGATTTGCTGCTGTATATGAATCTGTAATTTGGTAAACAGAGAGACACTGGGATTAGTACAGTTATATGAGGCTGTGTTATCTCTAGATGTAGTTGTCTGCTTATTGTTTGTGTTTATGTTTGTAACACACATATGCGACCAGCTGTCTGAGGTCTGCTATCCAACCCCATCCTGACGGGAACCAGGCCGTTTTATTGTGTGTATTTAGTGTTAGTATTTTAGTATATTTGAGATACTATGAATTGTTCATGTTTTTCAGTTTTTGTTATTTAGGTTTTTATTTTTATATTTTGTTTTCAAATTAATTTGACCGTTTTAGTGATTTTGTTGTTTTGTCATTTTTTTTATTAGTTTAAATTTTTTGTTCTTAAATATGTCTGTGTATTTATTTATTTTAGTTTTAGTAAGTTTAGCATATCAAGTGAAACTAAATGAAAATGAGAAATGTATCCTCGACAGCTAGCTGAAATAAAATAAGTTTAAGTTTTTTTTTTTTATTTCAAGTAATGAAAATGTTTTTTAAATGGTTTTAGTTAACTATAATAAGCCTGTGATTGTTTTATTTTAATCATAACAATCAGAAAATTTAGCAGTGGGAATAACAACAGAAATAAGTGTACATATTGGGATAATAATTAATGTCAGAATGCATTACTATTATAAATCAATATCTGTGCATCTGAAAAGGGATTTGATTTGGCTGGTTTGGGTAATGTCAGATTGGATTAATGCATATGCAGACCTGTGTGTTGTGTATCTGATTCATTGCATTTTTCTTCTTCAGGATACAGATATTTCCCCTGAAAAGCGTGATGAGGCCGTCCGGTGGTTGAGGGATGTTCATTCCCAGCTGAAGCTCTATCCAGAGACCCTCTGCCTGGCCATCGGCATCCTGGATCGCTTCCTCTCTGCCATTAAGGTAATGTTTAAAAACGTCTGACCGGTCAAGGTCTTCTGCCCCAGTCAATGATTGTGGGTTTATGACGTTTTCCATTATCCAGCTGTCCGTAACAGGGTTTAGCCGTGTGTTGGCTGGCTTAATTGCAGCCCATGATAGGTACTTCACATAATAACACCTATTTTTAAAATCAATTATAATAATACTCTTCTCTGTCATTTCTGCATTTCACCTGTGTTCAATCTTGTGTAGTAGTGTAGCTTATACTTGGCATGATAAACTGCATATGATGTTACTATTAAATGCATAGATTTATAAGATTATAAATGTATGCATTTACATTTATGCATGCATGCATTTCATGCGTTATAATTTAATGCAGTATAATTTGAATGCATTATAATTTATGCATTCAAGTTTGTGCATGTTATGCATTATAATTTATGCATGTTATGCATTATAATTTATGCATTTGAATTTGTGCATGTTATGCATTGTAATTTATGCATTTAAAGGTATAATTTTTTATATAATTAACAATTGCTTTTGAGATGCATCGAACATTTGTGTACAGTGAACATTATTTTGCTCTATTATAGAACTTTGTTATGTAATGGTAAGCGTTACAGAAAGTTAGGTCACTATTTAGCTGAGCTGTTTTATTATACGAGACTGAATGTTTTTTGCTCTCTGTTTGCCATTTTCTTTTAGCACATCAGAAGGGTTGCAGAGACTATTCTAGAATTGTTTGTTTTATTTTTTATTTTTAGAGAAAGTGAAACTGCACTGTGATGTATTTTTAGATGCAAAAATATGGCAGTCATTGCAGATCTGATTAGTTCTTGTGCTTTGGCATGAACAGGAAATAAACACAGGAAATGCATGTGTCTGTGAAAAAAAACATTTGCCATGTGCTGTTGTGGCATAAAAGTGCATGAGATGCCGTATTGCAGTACCATTATTGGTCAATCTCTCTCTGTCTCTTTTTCAGGCTCGTCCAAAGTACCTGCGCTGTATCGCCATCTCTTGTTTCTTCCTGGCTGTTAAGACCAGTGAGGAAGATGAGGTGAATGCAGTATTAATATGCTGATCAGTAGCAAACAATGTACGTCTGTTATTCTATGAGGCAACAGAGTAGAATGAAGGTCAACATTAGTCATCGCGGGTCTCTGTGGCTTTTTTTATGTAGCATAAGTAATATTTTTTCTGTGATCAGTAGCAAACAATGTACGTCTGTTATTCTATGAGGCAACAGAGTAGAATGAAGGTCAACATTAGTCATCGCGGGTCTCTGTGGCTTTTTTTATGTAGCATAAGTAATATTTTTTCTGTGGGAAACGGTGACCCTGGATGGAACATCTCTGATGTCTCAAGTCTAAAATCAGCCCCAGTTTGATGAGCCTTTGCAGAGGCTGAAGGATGACAAAACATTGCCTTCAGACAGTGAGAAATTATCTGTAGAATTATAACGACTGAGATTTCTGTACTGGCTTCTGCTTCAAACGCCAAAGATGGACTAATATTTAATCCGATTATTTTCTGGCAGCTCTTTAAAGTCATTTCTGGCTAGAACTGACCATGTGATGTGGCTTAAACTTTAAAATTTAGTTAAAAGTTTTGCCATTATTTTACTATTATATTTGAACTTGTTTTTAGTGGGCGTTCCTGTCTGTATAACCTTTTAAAATCAAATCAAATTGTGTAGCGATTTTACACATTGTTTCAAAGCAACTTGCAATAAATCATGCAATAATATAGTTCACGTTTTGCAATGATACAAGCAGTCATATATATAGAATATATCGTCCTATGCAAATATATATATATATATATATATATATATATATATATAT